TGGATGCAATAGAGCTGCTACAGCAATTCGATGGGCGAGACAATTTGGTGGACAATACACTCAAAATACATTCGTGCCGGAATCCTCAAACCCGACATCCTCGCTTCTATCTTGTGCTCCAGCCTTCACCAGCGAAGTTATGCTCATCACTGCTCAGAATGGGAGCGGAGAAGGCCAGCATTGTAGCTATTGAGGCCGGGGTCTTCATCCTGCGTCGAGGACTTGTTGCTGGTCAGGCTTCCGGCCTACGCGGATTATCAGGGGCCTCTTCGGGGCCATTGTAAAAGTTCTAGGGTACACATAAAGCTTCTGTGTTGTCTGAACCTTCCCCACGAGTTGCATGCTACATGTACTCAGGGCTGGTCGGAAAAGCATGTTCACAACGTGCTAAGGCTGCGAAAGCCACGAGGCAGAATAACCTAGGTGCCTCATTAATACAAGAGGGTCTGGAAGCATCTTCCACCATAGCTGTAAGTAGTAATTAGCCCGACTCCTATACCACTCATCTCAAATTCGAGTGCTTGGAACTGTGAAACCTGCTTCCAATGTGTGCAGGAAGTACGGGCCCGATGAACGGTGAACCAGAACGTGACCGATAGTTTTCCGCACCCCCTGATTTGACAACTTCGACCCAGCGTTTATACATCGCCACAACTCCCAGTACTCCGACCAAACCAAATTGTTCTCGATGACGAGCACCAAAAACACATGCAATGAACACACCGCAGGCTTTCGGGTTTTCGAAATCAACCACTCCATGTCGCCTCAAGCCTTCAAATATACGATTCCCCGGAAGATACCGGATGCCAACATAGATCCTACATGGCAGGCTTTTCGTCATAGAGATGCAATCATGGTCCGCAAGGTGCCCCGATATTCGAGGAACCCCTACTTCAACTGTACTCCTTCGCCGAAGACCGAGAAGCCACGGAAACACATAGTTTTTTCTACCATATCGTTATAGAGAGCCTTAATAAGTATTTGGAAAAACGTCAGTTTTTGGGTGGTGGTGGCTTATACATATATATATATATATATATATATGTATACAATTATATATATATATATATATATATGTGTATATATATAGTTGTATATATATATATATATATGTATATATATATATATATATGTATATGCAACCCGCAGAGACACACACACACACATACATACATATACTTGCGGACTAAGAGGGGTGCTACTAGTCATTCCTTACATAAAAGTTTAAAGTTTACGAACATAGCGGCCCCTACCGGTACTATAGCACCCTAAACAGTATAGAATGCTTATAATAAGCACACCAAAATAAGGTACCCCTATTTTTCGGAAACTCTAAAACCCTTACAGAGTCCTTTGAAGGGATCCTTGTAGTACCTTTATGGTAGGTAGCCCTTTACAGGAACCCCAAGGTACCCCGAATTTTCGGAAACTCCCATATAGAAGGCCTTCTCACCACGCCAGAGAAGCTCCAGGGTCTTCTCCAAGACTTGCAGCCCTGCTGCTTCCTTCAAAGAATTTAGGGGAAAAACAAGGATTTAGGGATGTTGAGGGTTGAGGGCTTGTAGACTTTAGGTTATTTCAAGAAGTAATTAGGATTTTACGGTTTACCAAAAGTCTCTATTGTAGTTCCTTTTTGGGGTTACCTTCTAGGATCCTAATTATATATTTGGTTAAACCAGAAAAGGGAACTACAATGGAGACTATAAGGTAACCCCCAAAAAGGAACTACAAAGGAGACTGTAGGTATAAACCTCGCGCCCCCGTTTCAGACCGGGGTCTGCCAAACCTAACCTTTGAGCGGGGACTGCAATGCAAATGAAGAGCTTTGATCAACTCAGGGCTTAGTGCATTGCAGTCTGCAATACCCTAAACCTTATATCGAACATTGGAGCATAGAACTAGTACGGTGTATTAGGGTGTAGTATACCTCCAGCATCCTACACCCTGACCTGTCTTCCAGGTCTGGTTTTTTCGCTGGCCCTGCTTGGGGACACGGTTCAGGGTTTGGGGTTTGAGGCAAACCCTTATAACAAAGCCCGGCAATGGCTCAGGGTGTTGTGGTTTCACAGATAGGATTGCGCGCTCCCCTGGGCCGTCGCAAAGGCGGCTTTAGAAGCATTTCCGCGCAGATCATCTGAGAGCATGTGGCTACCAACCCGCTCTACTGCGCAGCGTCTGATCTGAGGTTCGTGCTGCAGAGGTGTGTAGGGTGCTGGAGTTTGAAGGTTATTAGAGTTATTAGAGGTTTGTATCATCACGTCACGTGTAGAAGTTGGTTTGCGCAGCCTTGATGTGCATGCGTATGTGCTTCTTCGAATGCACCCGTCCGCATGCATCAGAAGCAAGGTGTCCATGCTCATGCCTTCGTGAATTTGCAGATACTGGGGTTCAGGGCTGTCCTCAAACCTGGCGACTACAAGCCCATAGCCAGCCGAAGCCTGCTGTTGAAGCCTGTTGCTGACCACCGAATATTCAACACATTTATGGTGCCGGGCTTTGGTATAGAAACACCCATAACGACATATGGATTTGCGGAAGCCTGCTTACTGCTTCACTTTGCCCGTACTCTCAACAAACCCTACAAAGCAGAATCGGGCTCCGTGCCTCCTGTGGCCATTGCGGCCGTGGGAACGTCACCTGCGACACCAATACTTTTGCTATAGCGGTCCACAACCATCGGCTCGCAGTTTGAGTTTGTTTCTTCTTACAACTATGAGCTCGAGCTTAATCTGTGTCCCAAGGCATGAAGATCTCCTTCGTGAAAACTGTAGCAGACATCGCACCATGCTGAATGACTCACGTCAACCGAATGCATGGGAGTCGATCAGAGTCGACCGAATTCGGCATTTTGAGCCCCGCTGTGTAGGCTAGGGAGCATGTAAGGGTTTCTTAATAGGATCTTTCCCAGGAGGCGCAAAGCCAAGGCCACCCAACCTGGCACCTCCACTCCTCTATCACCCGGGTTCTGAAACTTCGGCACCGTCGGAGCAGTACTTCTTAGCAGATCCTAGCGGTCCTAGCACTGCGCTGAAACGTCACAAGGCGTGGCACAAGGGTTTTAGCAGATCTTAGAACAAAACCTGGGGATGTGTCGTGGCCTCTCTCACTGGCAGGAAAGCTGGTAGTGCACTCACCGGGATCGTGGCCGTTGCCTTACTGGCAAATACATTCAGCTGGTGCTCGTCTTGAGAGATCGTTTCAATTAACTTCCAAAGGGGGAGCCTGAGCTGCGAACAGCCTTGCCATTCCACACAGCCCAAAGCTAAAACCTATCCTGTAGGAACCCCCTTACACCTTTCGCCCTGCCTCGCAAGGTCCCCCGGAGGTAGGATGAAGAGATCAAGGGTAGGCTAGCCGAAATATGAAGTGTGAGAGCAGCCAGGGTCAGGAGAACAAAACGTGAGTTGCCGAAAAGCACCCATGAGCTTCGAACTGGCACGTCACTCCGCTGTAGAGCTTTTGAGGAAGAAGCACCAAAAGAGGGCTAACATCCTCCATACCCTAGATACTGTTAATGATTAGGTCAACAATGGCTGCAAGTCCCAGGTCCAAGATCTAGAAGCCCTAAGGTAAGAGCCTGGAGCATCGATAGGTAAGTTTTGGGTTGAGGGCCAGGTAGTAGTGTCTGCGAGCTGCAAGCTACAAGCATCATACATCCTGAAGCCATGAACCATTCCTCTACAACCAACCCTAAACCCCAAACACTCCCTACACTCTTAACATCCCTCAACCGCTTTTGCAAAATGAATAAAGAGGCCTTAATAATTAGAATAGGCCTTAGGGCCCAATATACTATGTTTATAATAAGGAACCTCCAAAACACTGCAGATCATGATTTAGGCCCCTTTTAGTATAGAGCCCTACTATAGATCCCTTAGAGACCCCTTTAAGGATCCCTTTAAAGGATAGGTAGGTATTTAAGCCCCTAATAGAATATGGATTCATGGCCTAACCGCCATCTCCTAGGCTGTCTACTTGTTTCCGCAGTAAGAAGCACTTCTACAATGCCTTTCAGGATGCAGGGTCTACCTAATTCTATGGTAAGGATCCCGTAATCTAAATTTGTTGTTTAAACCATTACAAGGGACTACGATGCAGACTGTAGGTAAGTAAAAGGTTTACTCAAACAGCCCTGGTCTCAGGGCCCGTGAACCGGGCTTCTGGGACCCCGCGCATGATCAGCACCAGGGAAGGGGTCCGTTGCCCATCCGGGCTCGCTAAAACCACCTGAAGAGGTCACGGTCGCACGGCTCATGGCTGATGCGGTTTAGAGCGTTTAGTGCTTGGGGCGTGTAGGGTTGTTTCAGATAGGGCTTCTAGCGATGGGTGTCTCAGGCTTGGTGAAGCAAGTATATCATGATAGGTCGCATTGCGTCTCGCAAAAAAGTGCACGACAGTTTCGGCTCTCATGCAAAAGACAGCTTGGGTCCAGTGACCATTTAGCTACAGAGTCTGCCGTTGTGTGTGTGTGTGTGTGTCAACGGTCTGCCGCGCGGCTCTGTTTGTCGCGGCAAGGCCACATGTTGCATAACTCCCTGGAGTACCCGGGCTGATTCTTGGCTTGGAATCACAAAAGGTGAATTTCTGTAGAATATGAATGGAAAGCTGTTGCAGCTGTACATGGTCAACAGCGGTCTGTACATGGCCCTGCAGACACGGCTTGCATCCGGAAGCCGTCTATGTGCCCGTGTATAAGGTGAAGCTGTATATAAAGAAAGGAATATCGCCTACCTCTGAGGAGACCACCGAAATGCCGGTGTAAATAGTAATTAAAGCATGCACAAAAGCTTCAAGCATCTTCAAGCTGTGGAGGCAGACTTCTGCCACTGCTCTTGCCATCGTCGGGGCAGCAGCAAGGCACATAGATTTGGAACATGCGTCAAGACGTGACCCATGCATCCACACAGGGGCACGCTGCCTTTGACGGCCTGATCTGCGAGACTCTCACCACCGAAGTCTTCCGACAGCGGTCTGGTCAAAGCCCACAGCTTCTGACCCATCTATGGGATGACCACCGTTGCGTAGTCTGCCTGCTTCGTCGCATTCGCTGCAGGTTTCTGGGTCCCATTCGCTGCATGCACGGTGCTGTTCGGCACACCAGTCGAGATGTTGGCTGTGGCATTTGTTGAGCTGTTGGCCGTGGCGTTGCCCTTCACCGGCTTCGTGGATGCCGGAGCCGGTGGAAGAATGAGGACAGAGGAGTTCGGATCGACCTTGATGCTAAGAGTCCCAGCAATGTCGCTCCCCTCCAAGTTCACCTTGCCACCGCTCCAAGCTTGGACAACGGCATCTCCAATCACGCCAGAGATGATGGTAATGTTGGCATCGTCTGCAAGGATGAAGTGTGAGATATTTGGATTCGCCTCCATGCGTCCCACTGTCAGATTGCTCTTTCCATCTGCTGCAAGGCCTCCCGTGACGTTGTCCACCCAAACATCAGCACCGCCAGTGACGGCGACGGCTTCGAGTGTCTCCGGCACGGTGAGGTTTGCAATCTGGCCACCCTTGGGCCAAGCGAAATGTTGCCTGACGGCCCGGTCATCCATACCCAAAAGGAGGGTGGATCCGAAGGTCATGACCTGAACCTGGGACTGCACTGTCCATCCAAGGCCAATGGAGTCCGCCGCAACTTCCAGCACGGGATGCTTCTTAGCTGGGTCTGTGATGACATGGACCACCATAGGAGCGCTGACCTGCAGCCGCCGGAAGGGAGCCAGCCAGTCACGCGACGCAGAGACGGCAGCCAGCTGCAGCAACAAGCAAAGAGCTCTGATGGCCATCATTGCGCCCGACAGATCACTATCTACCACGGTCTCGACACACTCTCGACACTGAATGGCCAGCACTTCTGCACTCAAGCTGCTGTTCAACCCTCGCCCCTCCCCACCCCAACACACATATCGCAAGAGAATCTGGGACATGTACCGGCTCGACCACGGAGTAATCTATTCAACTCTGGAAGCATGGCTGCGCGCCGGAGTCCGGGATGTGTGCAGGCTTGAATCCCTGGAAGATCCGGGATGATTCCTGATTCCTGGCTTGGAATCACAAAAGGTGAATTTCTATACTGTGAAATATACATATAAATAAATATATATGTATATATATATATATATATATATATATATATATATATAAGAGCTGTTGCAGCTGTACATGGTCAACAGCGGTCTGTACATGGCCCTGCAGACACGGCTTGCATCCGGAAGCCGTCTATGTGCCCGTGTATAAGGTGAAGCTGTATATAAAGAAAGGAAAATCACCTACCTCTGAGGAGACCACCGAAATGCCGGTGTAAATAGTAATTAAAGCATGCACAAAGGCTTCAAGCATCTTCAAGCTGTGGAGGCAGACTTCTGCCACTGCTCTTGCCATCGTCGAGGCAGTCAGCAAAGCATATAGATTTGGAACTCACGTCAAGACTTGACCCATGCATCCACCCAGGGGCACGCTGCCTTTGACGGCCTGATCTGCGAGACTCACCACCGAAGTCTTCCGACAGCGGTCTGGTCAAAGCCCACAGCTTCTGACCGATCTATGGGATGACCACCGTTGCGTAGTCTGCCTGCTTCGTCGCATTCGCTGCAGGTTTCTGGGTCCCATTCGCTGCATGCACGGTGCTGTTCGGCACACCAGTCGAGATGTTGGCTGTGGCATTTGTTGAGCTGTTGGCCGTGGCGTTGCCCTTCACCGGCTTCGTGGATGCCGGAGCCGGTGGAAGAATGAGGACGGAGGAGTTCGGATCGACCTTGATGCTAAGAGTCCCAGCAATGTCGCTCCCCTCCAAGTTCACCTTGCCACCGCTCCAAGCTTGGACAACGGCATCTCCAATCACGCCAGAGATGATGGTAATGTTGGCATCGTCTGCAAGGATGAAGTGTGAGATATTTGGATTCGCCTCCATGCGTCCCACTGTCAGATTGCTCTTTCCATCTGCTGCAAGGCCTCCCGTGACGTTGTCCACCCAAACATCAGCACCGCCAGTGACGGCGACGGCTTCGAGTGTCTCCGGCACGGTGAGGTTTGCAATCTGGCCACCCTTGGGCCAAGCGAAATGTTGCCTGACGGCCCGGTCATCCATACCCAAAAGGAGGGTGGATCCGAAGGTCATGACCTGAACCTGGGACTGCACTGTCCATCCAAGGCCCATGGAGTCCGCCGCAACTTCCAGCACGGGATGCTTCTTAGCTGGGTCTGTGATGACATGGACCACCATGGGAGCGCTGACCTGCAGCCGCCGGAAGGGAGCCAGCCAGTCACGCGACGCAGAGACGGCAGCCAGCTGCAGCAACAAGCAAAGAGCTCTGATGGCCATCATTGCGCCCGACAGATCACTATCTACCACGGTCTCGACACACTCTCGACACTGAATGGCCAGCACTTCTGCACTCAAGCTGCTGTTCAACCCTCGCCCCTCCCCACCCCAACACACATATCGCAAGAGAATCTGGGACATGTACTGGCTCGACCACGGAGTAATCTATTCAACTCTGGAAGCATGGCTGCGCGCCGGAGTCCGGGATGTGTGCAGGCTTGAATCCCTGGAAGATCCGGGATGATTCCTGATTCCTGGCTTGGAATCACAAAAGGTGAATTTCTATACTGTGAAATATAAATATAAATATATGTATATATATATATATATATATATAAGAGCTGTTGCAGCTGTACATGGTCAACAGCGGTCTGTACATGGCCCTGCAGACACGGCTTGCATCCGGAAGCCGTCTATGTGCCCGTGTATAAGGTGAAGCTGTATATAAAGAAAGGAAAATCACCTACCTCTGAGGAGACCACCGAAATGCCGGTGTAAATAGTAATTAAAGCATGCACAAAGGCTTCAAGCATCTTCAAGCTGCGGAGGCAGACTTCTGCCACTGCTCTTGCCATCGTCGAGGCAGTCAGCAAAGCATATAGATTTGGAACTCACGTCAAGACTTGACCCATGCATCCACACAGGGGCACGCTGCCTTTGACGGCCTGATCTGCGAGACTCACCACCGAAGTCTTCCGACAGCGGTCTGGTCAAAGCCCACAGCTTCTGACCGATCTATGGGATGACCACCGTTGCGTAGTCTGCCTGCTTCGTCGCATTCGCTGCAGGTTTCTGGGTCCCATTCGCTGCATGCACGGTGCTGTTCGGCACACCAGTCGAGATGTTGGCTGTGGCATTTGTTGAGCTGTTGGCCGTGGCGTTGCCCTTCACCGGCTTCGTGGATGCCGGAGCCGGTGGAAGAATGAGGACGGAGGAGTGCGGATCGACCTTGATGCTAAGCGTCCCGGCAATGTCGCTCCCCTCCAAGTTCACCTTGCCACCGCTCCAAGCTTGGACAACGGCATCTCCAATCACGCCAGAGATGATGGTAATGTTGGCATCGTCTGCAAGGATGAAGTGTGAGATATTTGGATTCGCCTCCATGCGTCCCACTGTCAGATTGCTCTTTCCATCTGCTGCAAGGCCTCCCGTGACGTTGTCCACCCAAACATCAGCACCGCCAGTGACGGCGACGGCTTCGAGTGTCTCCGGCACGGTGAGGTTTGCAATCTGGCCACCCTTGGGCCAAGCGAAATGTTGCCTGACGGCCCGGTCATCCATGCCCAAAAGGAGGGTGTCCGAAGGTCATGACCTGAACCTGGGACTGCACTGTCCATCCAAGGCCCATGGAGTCCGCCGCAACTTCCAGCACGGGATGCTTCTTAGCTGGGTCTGTGATGACATGGACCACCATAGGAGCGCTGACCTGCAGCCGCCGGAAGGGAGCCAGCCAGTCACGCGACGCAGAGACGGCAGCCAGCTGCAGCAACAAGCAAAGAGCTCTGATGGCCATCACTGCGCCCGACAGATCACTATCTACCACGGTCTCGACACACTCTCGACACTGAATGGCCAGCACTTCTGCATACACCTCCACCCTAGGCTCAAAACACGGTGCACCGCGACTTTACACAATTGTGGTCAGAGAGTGGGTAGTGTAGTCGGACATACCATTGACACCCACGACCTTGCGCTGAGCCTACCTTGAACGAGCGCCACCCTAAACCCAAGCTGCACGAGTAGCACAAGAGATCCCAAACACAGCAACGAACGAGTCATCTGATGTGCCACAGGTTTCAAACCCTCCGCAACACGTCGGGCGGGCCATATCCACTTGGAGGCGGAATTTGCGAAGGAAGCGAGCTTGCAGAAATTGCAGTGCTAGTCCTCGGCGTGTTGATCGGGAGTTTGGGGTTCAGGCAGGTGGACAATGACCGAGCAACTTCTCAACCTTACCTCCGAGACAAGCTGTGTGGCTGCAGAACCGCATGAGCTCCACCCGCGAGCGCACTGTACGGGTTGGGCTCCACAACACGCTGAATCAGCAAAGTCTATTCAGCCACGCGCGGTTTCTGCTAAACCCTAAACCCTGACCTGAAGCAGCTAGGTGGCTTGAAGCTGCTAGGGATAACGTGGGCTCGGAAACCTACACTGAGCATCGCCGGCATGGGCATATAAGTAAGAAATAGTAAGAATACAAAACACGAAATTCCAACAAATCGATAAATGATTAATAATAGTACTTACCAAAACTGACAATAGCATGAACAAACATACATCACACTTACATAAATACATACATACACACACACACATATACATCTTATATACATATATATATATACACACATTGAACCCTCCTTCCCAACTAAGCCGGTGTGGCCATGATGACGATGACGACGACGATGTTGGAGGTGGTGTTGTTGTTACAGTGGTGAGGCTTGCGAGGAGGAAAGGATGGGCACGAAGGTATGAACACAGGAGTTGGCGATTGCGGCGAATGGTGAAGACAGCAATGATGATGACGAGGGCGATGCCGACGATGACATGGTGCTGACGATGAGTGTGCTTGTCAATTTCCAAAACCTGCCGTCCCCGTCCAGCCAAACTCCCGCAACTCCGCAGAACCGCTTTTCTCTGCGTTGGATGAGTTGGAGCCGACATACCCCGAAAAGTTCGAGGAACTTAGGCAAGTTCCTATCTACTAGTCCTTGTTTGCAGCTGGGCTCTTAGTGTCAACTCGTTCTAAACCCTAAACCCTAAGATCGTCAATCCAAAACCCTCCCGGTTGTCCCAAGTCCTGAAACCTGAATCCCACTCTCTCCTCGGCCCCCAAGCCCTGAATCCTAAATCCTATTTTTTTAAGTCCTGCTTTCTTCAGGGTGGGTGGGTGGTCATTGTTCTTGTCCGGATCCTTGTCTTACGCTGCGACTCTGGTCTTTATGCTGTCATGAGTCATTAGTATTGCTCTATGATTGTTCTTGTTATTGCTATTACTCTAGCGCATTACCGCTATTCTTAAAAGTTCTGCCATTAATGCTGGGCAATACAGTTACTGTTCTAGTGAGTAGTTTTATTGTCACCATGCTTCGCGTGAATCACACGGTTTATGTTGCATATTTGCTACGGTCGCTACACCTATTTTCAAATGTTGCTGTTCTGATGGAATACAGCTTTCTTGTTAAGTAGTTGTTGTTATTAGCACTTTTTTAGTATTTGTGTAGGCACTAATGCTACAAAACAGTTTCGTTTCTACTGTGATCGCCATTCTGAGTACGAGTGTCACTGGCACAGCGGCTACTGCTACAATTAGTCATCGTGTTTCTGTTGTTAGTAAGTATAAAGATTTCACGTGGTTAAACAAACTAACTACGTCAGCAATTAGTTGACTTATACATGTATTAGCCGAATATGACTTAGTCGTTTGTCTTCCAACTTTTTCACCATTGTGTTTATATGTGTTTGTCTATGCTTGCTCACTTACCAACAAATCATGTTCAATCGATGTTACTATTCTGACGAATACTACCGCTACTACTACCGCTACTACTACTACTACTACTACTACTACTACTACTACTACTACTACTACTACTACTACTACTACTACTACTATTACTACTGCTACTGCTACTACTACTACTACTACTACTACTACTACTACTACTACTACTACTACCACGACGACGACTACTACAGGGTACTATATGCTAATGCTACTACAATTACTACTACTACTACTACTACTACTACTACTACTACTACTACTACTACTACTACTACTACTACTACTACTACTACTCCTACTCCTACTCCTACTCCTACTCCTACTCCTACTCCTACTCCTACTCCTACTGCTCCTGCTCCTGCTCCTGCTCCTGCTCCTGCTCCTGCTCCTGCTACTACTACCACTGCCGCTACTACTACTACGACGACGACTACTATTACATCATTGCCGTTATTGCTCGTGTTTCTTAATTGCTACCTTTTGTGAGAACCTACTGTTACTAAAGCCTCCGAGCTTCGCTCGCGCTGATTGCTGCTCCTCCATGGCTCTGAAGCGTTCCTGTGGCTTAGGGGATTCGTTTTAGGGCTTAGGTTTTTGGTAATGTTGCAGCACTCATAAATAGGCACTTTCGACTCGCACAACTCGCTCACGCAGAGGCACTTTAAAGTTTTTGGGTATAGGGTTTAGGGCGCGGGACTTAGTGTTTGATTTTTTGGGGTGCCCTTTTCCACCTGTAACTTTTAGGGCTAAGGGTGTCTATCGGCTGTGGATTATCGGTGGCTTACGGGTTTTGTTGCCTCGGACTTGGGTATTAAAGGTTACGAGAATGGCAAAGTCTTAAACCCTATACACCCTCAAACCCAGCCCTGAGCCCCAAGCCCTTTAAGCCGGAAAAGGGGCCTCGCCTTTGCGCTTTCAAACTCTTCCAGCGTCAATATGGCGCCTAGCTTCCTCGGCGGCCAATTTAGGGCTGAGAATTCCTTTCCCATCTTTGAATGATCCCCCCTCTCCCTGTTTTGGTGGGATGCCCTCATGCTTATGGAGTTTGAAGGAGTTTCAACTTTCCCTGAAAAACAGAACCATACAGCCAAGAATTCGTCAGCTGTTACTGTTGTTGTTCTCGGATTTCGGGGCCACAAGCCGCCCCTGAACCCCACAATGTCAGAGTCGGTCAGCTAGAACAACAGCATTTGAGGAAGCATCTTCACTACTGTCACAAACCTAGTACTCCCTGAGAGACCAGCAAACCGCCCAGTAGCCGCACAATCGCTGGCAGCTACATAAATGTTACGAACCTTGAGCATCCCTCCGGGCTTACCCATAGGCCCCATAGTAGTTCCTTCTTTGGGGATTCATATTTAGAACCTCACAAGGTACTCCCAACAAGGAACTACTATGGAGCCTGTGGGTAGTTGCAGGAGCTACAAAGGCAAATCAGCCACTGTCAGAGTTTCAGTACTTTGGCACGTGGGCGGTAAACGTCCGCGAACTAGCAGCTATACGTGCAGGCGGCCTTTCTTAGAGAAATGGCCGTGTGCAGCTCCTATCTTATACATCTATGGCTATTTCCGATTTTTGAGAAGGCTAACCATGCCCTTTCTCCAACTGAATGTATTTCTCAAAGCTAGAGGTTCTGCCTCGCGGTTCCGAGTTGAAGCTCTCCAATCTGGTCGTGGGCACAGGCTATGCAGCTGAAAACCTTCATGGCCTTGTAATTATATTTATCTCGCCCGAAGAGGTGCGCGTAGCGGTCACAATCATGCTATCAAACCCTACGGGGTTTAAGGTTTAAGGGTTCAGTGATTCGCGACATCCTTAACCACATGGGCTTGAGGCGAGAATCTTGTGCAAGCGTTGACGGACACGTCGCTTCAATGCCCGGTTCGGCGCGTTTGCACTCTCCTGGGATGTAGGGCATGTAGGCCGACCCGGGGGGAATGGAGGCAAGACAAGCATGCAGTTGGATTGTCAGCCCCTGACCCTGCTTCTTCATTCTACCAGGGCTCCAACGGAAGCAGCTATCCCAAAGCATCACAACACTTATAGCAGGCCCTGCAGTACTTTGCTGATATTCAGCAATAGCCTGCCAATGCTGCCACCCGAAGCCCAAAAGCTGAACCTCCGAAGTGTTGGCTGCGTGGCTAAGAACGGGAGGTGCATGGCCGAGGGACATGCACCCCAATACGCTGAGTCTAGTTTAGTTTGAAGCTTCAAGGATGTCCTACTCAGGACATCCCTTATGTGGAGTTCATGTCCGCTCGCCGCATACCAAGACTCTGCCAACATGCCTGGGCTCGCCTCCTGTCGAGTTCCCCAGCTTAGAGTACCGGCGGCCCTCGCGAACACCGTTCCGTCCACCGGCCAATGCTGGTTTCACGTCAACTCCTTGACCACCCTCAATCTCAAACGCCAACCCCTCCGCCCTCTGCTGCGCCTCAACCAGGACTCTCAACCCCGAAGCTGCAATGACTTACTTACATATATAATATATAAGTATATGCCGGCATATCTAGTTATCCATCGGAAAGCCAAACGAAACAAATAAACATCAAACTCAAAGCCGGCTCAAACTTTAGGATTCTGGGCTTCTGTATCATAGGCTTCGACGGTTTCGACGCTCACACTCGCACACAGCAGGCAAGGCTCCACATAGTAGGGATTGTTGTCATAAGTGCTACACGCTACCCCAAACCATAAGCCCCTTTTTACACCTGGACTATGCATATGCCAGGAACCGAGGTGCCGACTGTGCTGTGGACTCGTGCCACACGGCTACACCAAGTCAATAGCAATTACGGCAAAAAACTGCCCCGTGTGGAAGCAAGGTCACGCTACTCGCTCAGATTTTGCACCAAGCACTCATGACGTTCCTAAACTGCAGACCCTCTTTGTCAGTCTAGCCAGTCTACGACCTGCAAACTGCAGACCCCAAACCCGAAACCCTATAAACCTCTGAACACCCAAGCTCGGCGCTTTGCTACCAAGCGACCCTGGCGGCAGTCATCAGCAGCTCGTCCACGGAGTTGCGGCCGGCCTTGCCACGAGGCTGACAGGTTACATTCCCACAATAGAGATCCGGTAAGGGTTATTATATAGTCATATAGGGGTTACCAGTGATTACACAGAGATTGCCGGAAGGGTTGCTAAACCGGATTCCTAGAAGTGTCTACTTTTAAGCCAGGGCTGCGTAGTTACAGCAATTAGGATTAGGAGGCTACAACACACTCCAATTAGATCTAGGACACGGGACACGACATGTTCTTGTAAGTATTATATACTAATTTCAAAGATATGGTTATATACAGGAAGAAGAAGTAAGCAGTAATGTTACAGGGATGATGAGAAAGTGTGGAGCATGGGCTCGTAATTCAGGACTTTAGCAACAAGTTTTCGAATTTTTACAGTGTGTACAGTGCTATGCATGCCATTGTCGGCTGTGTCTGCACGGGATTACATAAGGCTTTATGGCCCTTGTCACCTTCACGGTGTTGCGGTCGTACCAAGGAACATGTAGGATATGCAGGAATGACGAGACCTTGTTTTGGTCAGAAAGTGCCTTACATGCACACGGATTGATGAAGGCGAGTTTCTGAAGCTCTGGTCTCAACCAACTCGTGGGCTTGGAGGCAGTCAGCGTGAGGAAGAACACCAAGTGGGCTCTCTACTCTATCCCGCATCGCTCTTTCCTGCAAAGGGACCTTGCAAACTTACGGCCTGGTTAGCATGAGCCATGAGCCGCCGCGGTTTGGGTTTGGGTTTAGGCGGAATCAGGTGTTATGGGTTTGTTTTATGCTTGTTTGATGGCTAAGGACTTCGGCTTTCGGCATGGATGGGATGAAGTCATATGGGTGGTTGTCAAAATTATGATCCCTTTTTGGGTACCCTATCTGTTAGGTGGCATATGATAATATAGTAAAGGACCCTAATATTCTTGACAACAACCCATATATTCAGGCGTCACTGGGGGCTCCAAGCTGACAGTTGGCGAAAAGGTGCACTAACCATAGGCCCCATAGTAGTTCCTTTTGGGGTTGATATTTAGAATCCTATAAGGTGGGCCGAAGGGTACTGGCCACATGCACGATTGAGCTTGCTGACCTATTTTGCACAGACTTTGTGGTCTAGTATAGTTGCTTCACCAATCAAAACAGGGCTTGGGCTATCTATAGACGATTGGCTCATTAATTTTGGAAGAATCCTGCCGGGCAGGAAGCTCCGGTCACGAGTTCTACGATATTCTGGTAGGTAACCTGTTCGCGAGGTGAGACCAGAATGCTAGATTGCAGCGATAGTGCTTCCATCATGAGAACATCGATGTTTCCCGTGACCACATACTTCAAACTACTCTAGACATGTCGTCGCTACCAACACAGGAGTAGTTGTTGCTATCACGAGATGCTCTCTCAGCTTCGGGACCGGGTTCTCAGCTTCAAGGCCTACGCAGGGCCAAGGGCAGACTGTTGCATTGCTGGCACTACTATAGGGGCCTTAGAAATTAGACTGGGGTTTTGGGATGTTTTGGGCCCACTGTACGATGGTTATAAAAAGGAACCCCTAGAATAGTTTTGGTAATTATTAAGGCCCCTACATTACCAAGACCCTGTGCCTGCCTTGGGGTTTTGAGGCCCGGCGGGATACGCAAACGCGTTGGCGTTGAGGGCATTGTACCTCGGCTTTGCAGGCACGATTTGAGGATCCGGAGGACTACTGACTACTGTATTTCTGGATGAATAATCCCGATGTCTGTTTCATCCCTCTGTGCCAACACTCCTGCGTCTCCAGGTCAGGTTTAGGCGGCCTAGTTTGGGCCCACAGTTGAGTGTTGATGCCTTGACACTCAGACTGCTTCGGAGTCAAAACTTCGGGTTCGACTTAGTGTCAAGTGAACCCCGTCCCCTGCCGGAGTGCTGCGGCTGTTTCATGCTCGAAGAGACGACGACGCACGTCTTACCATTTGCACCTGAACGATAACGACAGCAGGGCAAAACTGTCTGCCGGGCACCTAGCAACAAAAAGCCACAATTAAGAAGCAGGTCGCATCTGACACTTCACAGAAACTAGAGTATCTAGACAAACCCAAGAGCCAACGTCGGATGCCGCCTCCATGGTGGACTACTTCAAGGCTCGGCTGGGGCAGGTACAGTATGTACAGCTACGGCTCAATGAACGTATATACATCATATGCCCGGCTAATTCTTACAATGAGCCGTCAGGTCACGGGCTCTCTCTATGTGACTCTTCGTAGTTAGCCATACACCATTCTCCCTTCAGACCGTGCAGCTATGGCTCACCAACTGAGGCCTTAAGCAGAGGTTTGGGGCCTCGAGCTTGCCTGCGCCGGATTTCATATCACTCGTGCAGAACCGCGGCTCGCACATGGCGCAGCGCAATGGAGGCGACGCAAAACAAAGTCTCCCTAGGCGAGTTGGCCAAGCTCGAGCCGTGAGAGATGCCGCTGCAACGAACAGTTGTTCTCATCATGGGGAAGGACACCGACATACGCCTTGGCTCTGTCATTTCAGTCAGTCACGTCTTCATACTCTGCTGCTTGAACCTTACATTCCTAGTCACTCGGCAATCTGGTATGTATGCTGGAAACAAACGGAATCTAAACGGGCTCACCAGCTACCGGCTCGTATAAACAGGGGAGGACTTCGATAATTAAACAAGCAAGCAATCATCGGACGTCTTCCTACACAAGTCTCTTACCGTCACGCTTGCGAACACAATACCGCTGTGCAGGCTTCGCTCCCTGACTTGAATCAGACATATGAGATTGGACTTAGCCTGTCAGGTTGAAGCGTTGCTGGCAAGCTTAGAAGCTGCGTCATGTACAAAGGCCAACAAGAGCGGCCCGAGATTAGCAAAAACGTGTTTTCCGTATATACATGTTCAGCTTCTCGACGGGATCCCATCATCATCGTCATCTGCATCCGTTTCATATACCTGACGACCTGAGACAGGCGAAATACTCGCGCGTCCGGGCACGTTTCAGCGGCCACCTCGGGCCGCTACGTCAGGGCCTACGCCCGCAAGCTCTCAATCCCAGTTTGGGAGCATGCATCAGGACGATACCGGAAGATGGTTGGTGAACTGTAAACTGTGTCTGATACAGCAATAAAGTACAAAGTTGGTGCATGCTACGTCTTTCCTTAGGCAACTTCGAACGACGTGCCTCGGCCTCCGTTGCAAGTCGGATCGCTTCCAACTGGGCTCTCTCCTTCCATGCACATGAGCCCATGTGCCACTGCAAGTCACAAGCCTTCCTGCTTCAAACTGTCGGAGCCGTCTGGGATCCTGTTCGGGTGCGGTTTGCAGTTCAATGATTGTCGAAGCCAGTAGCAGATAACCAGCCATGTTCGAACAGGCTCCACCAAACCGTGTTCAAACAGATGTAACTCTGTAATTCTTTACCTACGAGCTAGTCAATGCCTCATAGCGAGACATGTAGCGTCTTGTGCACAGGATGGCTTCTGTCGTCGTCACGCTTCGCCTTAAACGTCCTTAGGACCATCATACAAATGATGCTTGTACCAGTCTTTGGGAACTATACTATATTCAACTGCTAATTCCAAAGAGCACTGAAGTGCTACCTAGCCTATGGATTTAAAGGCTGGACGAGCGTTCGGCTTTGGAGGCTTTCTTTTCTTCCCGACAGCTTCTTGCTGATGGTCAGGTGGGTAGTAATCAAAACTAGAGTCCCTCTCTGGGTACCATAAATACTAGGTGCCGTATTATAGTAAGGATCCAAAAGGGGACCCTAATTTTGACAACCACCCAAGTGAGATCCTGAACTGAACTAAAACGGACAGGTTTCAAGGCACCCGATACTGGAGTCTCCGAAAATAGGGACCCTAACATAGGTTCCTTATACAGAGTTTCATAGCAGGATCCTTATTATAAGGACCCCAAAATGAGGCACCCCTGATTTTCGGAAACTCTCATACTGAGCTCCTCATGGAGCGGCGTTGCGCCAAATGGATCGCATGAGCTGGGCCCGTACTGCCATGGAAGGCAAGGAGCAGCTCTGGAATCTGACACCGAGCGCATTGGTCCCATATTATGCATACTTATAACGACAATACATAATAATGATAAAAATATTAATTGTAACAGGTAACTTGACAAACTACACAAGCTCATGGAACCTAATATGCATCACGTTGTCCGAAAGGCTCTACTCTGCACACTGGCTCAACAAGATTGAGGAGCGCTCAAAACTTTAGGTAGCCCGAGCAGGTCTACCTCGGTGACAAGCAAAAACGCCGGGCAAACAGGGATCATCCCCGATTACTGCCGACAGTTTCCTTGCGAGGCAGCCGAACAAACAAGCCAAAAAGTTGGCGCCAGCCTGCGGTCTGCATCCTATCGGCGACTGCTGAAATTCTAACCTTATAAGTGCTGCAGTGGAGGGGCACGATTTGTGCTTCGCGGCTGGCAGAAAGGCAAAAACGGCTTCAGCCAAACTTTTGCATGTCTGGCCTGATCTCGATCCATGAGTACTCTGCTGAACGATTAATTTTGACCAAAGCTTGTAGCATGGAAGATATCCTAGCAAGCTGAAGGTCAGCCCTCTGCTGATTAGCACCACAGGACGAGGTCAGGCTATCCCTACAAGCAGGAACGGATCAGGGTCTTTGAATGCGAGTTCGCATCACCAGGCTCGGGCAAGGTCATCACGCAGACGAGAACAAACCTTCCCTTGAAATTGACCATGCTCCATGAGATGTGAACCGATAAGTTGCATAAACACCCAGTTCAGTGAAATGGTGCAGTGCATGTTGCTAGAGCTAGAGGCCGTGCCGTCGGTACAGGGTGATAAGCAGGATATGCGAACATGAACTGAGGCATACATGTTGCGACTCTGGAACCTTGTGCACAACTGATGCATACGGCAAGAAGATCAAACCGTAGCTTGGAAGATGCCCGTGCCGATGCCTGTCTAAGGAACATGCGGAACTTTGCAGATCTTCCAAAACAGACCTGAATTGAGACTGCTGGCATGGAATGCCTAGTTGCAGCTCTGACACATAAACACTCCATCTCATCTGATGGAAGGCAAATTGCCGCTGCCAACGATGATGTGCTCCGAGCCCGCTCCATCTCTCGCAGAGGGCGCGATTGCCATCATTCATCGTGGTGACCACTGAAGCACGCAATTTGTGGACTGCTCTTCCCGTCAGCCAGATCATGGGATTGGCACTCTGCAGGACTTCACTGGCTGATGTACATGCGGCTGTCGCTATTCCCGACGAATGCTCCCGAGCTTCGGCGGCATTGCAAGGTAATCTCGAGCAGTGACCGACATGCTGCTGGCACGCCTGCCCTCCACGATGGTCTCAAACAAGCTTGGGTCCACAAGGAGATCTTGCTGCAAGCGTTCGATCCGCCGCAGATGCCATTCGTGCATGCGTCGATTTGGCAGTGAAGGGTATATGTTCGCGCTGTTTGGCTCGCCCTCCTCCGACTTCATCGACAACCAGTTTTGAGCCTGGAGCTCGACCTCTTCGACGTCAAGCTGGTCCTGCGTCCCATCCACATCGATGGAACGGAGCATGTCCGAAACGGCTTTTTGGCTTTTGCGCGTTTTCGCTGCAGCGCGTGTCTGCTTGCGAAGAAGTACCATCTCCAGGTGGTGCAGGTTGTGGAATTTCATGTCCCGCTTCTCAGAAGGTGTCCCGAGACGAAGGAGCTTCTTTCCACTTGCGTCGGGAGGCAAAGGAGCCGGGGCGACTCTCGCTGTGCTTGCTCCACAACCCATCCCTGGTACTCCCTGCTGCCCGGATATGTGTGCAAAAAGGGAGGCTTGAGCCACAACCATCCGGCACGGGTGTCGACTCAGTGCTTGCGTTACTACGGCCGGGGTGCCACCTGCTACCGATCCTTGCACGAAGGGATCCTTAGAAACTTTATCCAGCCAGTGGTGTTGATTCGATGTCAACAGATCACTTTTACTCGTGCGTCCATACCGTCCTGAAGCCGGCTGTGCTTCTCACGTGCGAGCCTTGCACCGTGGGAAGACAGCCAGTCAGGACAACATCACAACGATTCTGTGTTCGACTGGAACTCTGCACATTGGACAGCTGGAAATCCGCTCTGCGCATTCCGTGCATAGCGCGAAGTGAGAGCAAGGGCGCAGGAGCACGCTGCGCAGGGAGTTCATGCCTGGGTTGTAGTTTTGGGGGTTCTGAAAAGTATATATCAAAAAGGTACCTCTATAGGAACCATAAAAGGGAAACTAGAAAGTCTATAAGTTTCCCAAATTGACACCTTGATGCAAACGCAACAGGTTTTCTGTGCAAGCAATTCCTGGCTCTCCTTCAGACAGTCATCGTACTCTGCCTTCAGCAACATGTTGGCCAGCTCCAAAGACTCACGCTCCCTCTCGGCCTCTGCGATATATAGGGGGACCCCAATATAGTACCCTATAAATAGTAGGATCCTTATAATAAGGACCCCAATCCAGCCTCTGCGATATGGGTCAAGGCCAGCTCGTGGCGCTTCTCATGAACGCTGGCTTCCCGAATCGCCTGCAAGCGGCAGACCTGAGGAATGCGTGCGCGCGAGCTGTTTAGGCCCATGATGGTCCGCAATACTGGTCCGCACTATATTCCCTCTAGTTGGAAGGTGGGCAAAGAAAAACTGTCGCGTTTGCACAAACAACACATTCCGCAACAGAGGGTTTCTGCCGCTTAATTATGGAGGCTCTGCATGGTAAATTATACATATAAGGAAAACCGACGCCGACAAGAGAGGCTGGAAACACATCAAGTTTCTTGTAGCTTTAGCGCAAACCCTGGAGGACCAGCAGGATGCAGCATCTCTCTGCCACTTTACATACTCCGAAGCCGAGTTTTCCAACCATGCCGCCTTAAAAGCCTATAGCCGACTTCATTTAACTCCCCACCCTCCAGCTGTGATGAATCAGTCAGCCACCTCGGAGGCCATAAGCTCACCACGCTGAGCAGCCAGCATCTCCCCGAGAGAGCGGAGTTGCTGGGACAGCCTGCGGCACTCCGTTTCCCAGCAATGTGCGTCCTTCTCTGTCCGGGCAAGCTGCTTGCGCAAGTCGCACATACCTTCCTGCAGGTCTTGAATCTTGGATGTGGCGTCTCGCAGCCCGATACGAGCCTCGACCAGATCGTGCTCGGAATTCGAAAGAAAAGCTGCCAGCTCCGAAGAAACACCCTGCATTGAAGCACGGGTAGACACCAGTGTCCTGTTGAACTCCTCCAGTTCCGCGAGAGCCCGCTCTCGCTGCAAAGTCTCCGCCGAATCCAGGAGATTACAAGAGCTTCTGCCCTTCGAATTGGTCTCCGCAGGCCTCTGTGGTGAGGGCGTGCCGGGGCTCGAGTCTTTGGGACAACCGGGAACCTCTGTGGGCAGCACGCCGACCATGTCCTCAGTTCCCGCTGACAAGACGAGACAAGTCAGGCCGACAATAGAAAACAGAAACCCATGAAGTACGAGGTTGAACACGTACTGTACACCACCGAGCAGCATCAAAGAACATTGGCTCGAAGCACTTGTTGGAAGCACGCTCGTTTGCTCTACAATGCAGGAGGGTGCCTGCAGGCATCACGCGGGCATTCTTCTGCCAGGGCTGCTTCCAGCGCTTATGCAAGAACGCTGGAAGCATCATTCTCCGTCCACACCAGGATTGACTGCCGTTTGCCAGCTCCGGAATGGCTAACTCTAACGAGCTGTGTAGGTTTAACAACCATGGACCTGGACAAGAGGCCGGTTGAGAAGGATGCTTTGCAAGATTCATGTCATGATCTGCTGTACTGTGAACTCAGGGATGTGGACACCTCCGCCCGCTTGCATGCAACGGCTGCGGTACACACACACACAACGCACACACAGAGACGCACCGAGCTCACGTATTGACAAGCCGTTGGTCTCTTGACCTGAAACCCCAGGCAAGCCTGCGACCCTCGCCCTCGAATGACTTCGGGAACAAATGGATGCCAGTCCTTATGCCATGCTCTTCTGAGACCTAAAAACGAGATGCAACAGACGCAAGGCTTCAACTTTGACTCAGAAGCTGAAGGCTGAAGATGAAAAGGACGAGAGTCGCATCACAGGAGCGAGGGTCGTATTGGCTGCGGCGGTGGAGGCTTAAAATTCCCGGTGACTCAAGAAGTCAAAGCTTCAACTTCGGTTGCTGTATTCATTTCAGATCCACCAAATCTACGTAGCCTCTACCTGGCACACGGTCCTCGCCACGGATGCGATTTTCCAGCACCTGCATGCATAGTTGGTTGGCAGCTTCTGCTGGATGTTGATTCAATGCATCGGTCGCTCAGCTCCAGACATTCCACCCGCGGCAAGCAAAAGGAAGTGTCACGAACCGGAAGCGAAAGATCTGCGATCACCGACCCTGATTGCGACAGCCGTGCCTCCCTCTCCGTAAGGAGTGGGCCACACGCCTCAGTCGGATGTTCGGTCTGTTGTAACTTTCCACATGTGTCTCTTCTTTCTCTAAGAACTTTTGGCCGGGAGGGCTTGGTTACACTTTTGCTAAGCCGACAATCTGGCGGTGCGTCCCAAAGAGGAAGTCAAGGATACTCATAACACAACAGCAATCATCATATATCATCACAATAACGACCAGAACCAAAGCAACGTGTGACACACAAGGAGACATGTCAGTGCGCTCCGAAAGATGCAGGAACGAGATGCCTGCACTGTTATGATTGCTGCACGGACGCGTTCAAGGCCGGTTGACACAACAGTGACAGCACAGGTCTTCTTCAGGGTCGAGTTGTTGCGTATATAGCTTTGCATTTTGAATGCTAGCCGGCGTTGCCAACCCATCTATGGCCTTACTTTGCCTTGCTGCTCAGATCTGCTCAGCTTGCCCCTTCAAGAAGGACACCCGGGCCCGGAGCCTACCTAGGGTCTTGTCCAAAATGCGGGCCCAGCGGCCAGGCTGCGATGTGCAGGGTCGCCTGCGGCGATGGTGCATCGGGGCTAGAGAGTTGTCACAATGCCAGGGTCTGGTGTCGCATAGTTTTTTTTGCGTGAGAAGGTAAATTTCTATCCATACCAGAAACGGCATAATAATGCTGAATGGGTAGACATGATGAAGATCCAGAAGAAAGGGATCACCCAGTCCGATGGCTGACTTGCCCTCACGATGCATGCTTCTCCTGTTGGCCAAGCTTCCACGAGCCGGGGAGGCCAAACACGCTGAAGCCGCTTAGGGTGTGGTTTTGGAGCTGTGGTATGTTCAGGAAGTGCGCGGGGGTTTCGAGCCGTCTTCACGGAGGGAGCAGGGCGTGAAGGTGACCAGAACTGAAGATTTTGAGTTCGAGGGGACACCAGGTGTGGGAGCATTTTGGGACTGCAATGGCTAGAAAAGTCTGAGTTGATGAACCTCTAGTCTAGGCCATCAGCTGCGCTCCTGAACCCTAAACAAACATGCCCAAAGCCTGCAACCTATATAATCTATCTTCGAACTGCGCGCGCGGACCGTTTTTGTAAAGTCCCCAAATAGCTGGGTTTTTATTAAGATCTGGCTAAACTACGCACCCGAGACAAAGCCCCATAGAGCCTATGTGCACTCAGAACACGAATCTCAAGCGCTGGATCAAGACCATCTCGTATCCGCATACCTAAATCCTCAAGCAAAGCTGTATCATCCACTGAGAAACCGAAAACCTGACCCCCCGAAACCCTAGAACCTCAGCCAATGGTTCGGGAGCGGTGGTCGAACGGTGCTTCTTTCCGCCTCCGGCAAGAGAACGCCGGGCCGAACTTGACCTGGTGCATAAGGGTCCAAGTGCCCAAATAGTAGGTGGCGCTTAGTAGATATTTGGGCCCAAGCAGTATTTACTCTACTTCATTGAACTTGGACCGTTTGACAGGTACTCTGAACATCTGTTTATCCTGCGTTGTTTTGGAGGTTGGGGATAAAGACGGTCCATAGCATGGAGATCCTACTTCCTTGTGGTCTGCATGGAAGAGCCCCTGTTTTTATCGGAAAATTTGCGGGGGACTCACTACAGGAATATGGGAGTCTTATCTAGACATATCTATAGACATGTTGTAGGGTCTTCTGTAGGTCTGATGTCGAGCGCGGTGGTGACTTTGAGATGATTCTAGAGCTTTGAAAGCACTTTATGGGATTGTGGCCCCCCGGATGGCAAGGTCGGGTGTGTATGCTCCTGACATCAGACTTAAGATGTCCGATGTGTTGCAAGCTGGTGACTTTGCGACTTATAATGCCAACAGAGAGAAAACTGGAAGAGACTGGAACGGCTTCAGTCGGGGAATCGCTGCTCCCACACCGATTCCTACTGACTGTAGTAACAAAATTACTTATCAACAAGTCATCCCTCCGAGATTCTTCGCTCATCCCCGCTTCAACACTGACCATGCCCAATGTTAACAATGAGTCGAAGCACGAATACACCATTCGTGCCAGCACTTCTGCTCTGGCGCTGGACGCGCAACGACGTGAAAGTCAAGGCTCTAAGATCCGCGTAGTTGAACACACCACACACACACAACATTGCAAAATCTTCAAAGCTCGCGCCTAACTCGTTCCGCTAGGATACATCCCTCCATTGCCAGCAACTCTTTACAGTCATTTTTGCCGGGCGAAATCATACCTGTCTCTCGGGGGAAGCGGAAGGAATTTTAAACATGCCGGGTTCAAAATAACACAAGCTTCACGAATCTGGACGGTCTTTTGAAGCAGATTCCGCGAATGGCGTTTTGGCAGGATGCGCCTGAAAGCGCTCATGGTCACAAGGCCATGCGACGATTGCAGAACATGCCGCGCGATCATTATTGAGCTCAGCAGTCCATTCAAAACCGCAAGCCGCTTGTAGCCCGAGCACCACTGCAGCTTAGCCGGCTTAGCCTTCGTTACGTTTTCCAAAGTCACAAACGGACCAGCGCTCCTTGGTCTCTGGCCATGCATCCGAACCGCCAGATGCCCGACAGTCCTCCACAGCGGTTGCCCGGCTATCGGCTATCCGTGTGTGCAAACACCAGAAAATACCGCAAAGACGTGCTAACCAAGGCCGGTCACAGTTCTCCGATCAAGACTCACAAAAAGGGTTCAGGGCAGCAAACATTTTTGTTATCAAACCATCGTAAATCTGGACTGGCATGGACAAGTTCAGGACCCATGTTCTCCATATGATTCCCCATCCAACCGAAACATTCCACAAGCAAATCCAACGCTGGCAGCCCGTGCTTGATAAACAAGCCCTTGCTCCCGAACCTATAAACCACCACCAGCCCTGAACTTCTCGTTGAAGCCCTAGTGTAGCGGCGCTAACAATTAGAATAGGGGGTTGATGGGGTTTGGGCAAACCATACTTTAACAAAGTGACGAACTCAAAAGTGGTGTTGGTAACCATTTAGGCCCCTATAGTATATGCCATATTGGCACAAAACGCCGGAGCAGGTCCTTTGTAGATGTTGCGCGCAGTTCTGGCACTACCAGTCGCCACGCCTGTTTGCCAGCTGCGTTCTGGATTTGGTGCGTGCTTTTAACCATGGCATCCCTTAGGGCGTTGCAGATTGAGTATCTTCAGCTCGGCGCTGGCACTCATTGAAAGCTGTGCATTCAGTGGGCTCTTTTGAAACCTCACCAACTACTAACCACCGCAGTAGTTTGAGAGTCTCGGAGCTTGAGACATCCCACTCGGTGATTAAAGATCTGTTGCAGAGCTCTTTGTCATCCAAGTCCTTCCTGTGGCTTCTGAGGCCTTTTGAAAGACGCAAGGCACCCCGGGCCTACTGGAACATGAGAGGCAAGCCGAGGACAGCTTTCGCTCTATTGATGGCTCTCGAGCACGCGTGTTTCGAGTGCTCGCTCAGACATTTCTGCCGGTTTCTACGTGCCGTGCTGATGTGACGTGTCTGCAGTGCTCCTTACCGTCACAGTAGTTATTGCTGTCGTCCTTGTTGCTGCTGCTGCTGGTCTAGAGGTCGTTGTCGAAGCCGCTTTTGCTCGTGGTAGTAAAGCGGTCTCTGTTGACTCGCACCCCACCCCAAACACAGACAAACGCCATACAAACAAAAAACAGCCGATGCCCCAAACCCTAAACCGTACTAATTGTCCAGCCCGACAAGGCCAGAAATGAGGGGCCGCCTCACCACACCGCTGGCTACAGCTCGCGGCACCTTGCAACATCATGTGAAAGGGTAACGTCCTGTAGGAACCTGATGAAGAAACCCGTCCTGCTGACCACCATCGAAGCAGAAAACTTGCGAGAGAATGTCGCTTTGGGGATTAGGTATTGCTGCCCCAGGGAATACTGAAGACCGTACCGGAACATCTGAAGTAGCTGAGACCGATCAGCTGCTACTATTTTTGTAGTGCACAAAACAGTTTATCGAGCAGCTACATCGACACAACGAATTCAGAAATTGCAAGACTTATCTTCAACTGCGGACCCTGAACCCGTCACAGCATGCCACGGCGTAGGAAAAACTCTAGTCCAAAACCTGCAGCTGGGATATCGAGCTGCTGCAACACAGGGCCCATGCACTTAGAAGAGGGCCAACATGACAAAGGGATGCCGCAGGCAAGCTGGTACTAACCGTGGGGGCTCCTCACCCCAAGCCAAGGCATTGAACAACCACGAGAGCGCACCTCGTGCTTCGCTCGGTGCAGTG